CGCCAAATGCATAAAGTGACTTGTTAAACTTTTTTAGGTTAATATAGACCACGAGCGTAACGAATATGACAAAATTAAAAAGAGGTAGTGCATTCAAACAGATGCGTTATAGTGTGCAAAATTTCGGGCCAATTAATTTAATCTTTGTTTGAATTCATAATAAACAGTATTGCACGTGAAACACATATTCCTAGGTACATATGCATACGGCGTCAAAGTTAGGCTACGTTTTTATTTTGTTAGCATTGCTGTTATGCAGACTTAGATACCAGTGATAAGTTTCAGAAAATTTAATTTAACTTGATAAGAACTTTGTATAGAAACTTAAAAACATTGTTTACATATAATAATAAGAGTGTTAGTTGCGTATTTGTTAAATTAGCTGCAAGAAGATACGCAAATCGTACCTGCTACTGAAATAAGACATTTTAAATCAAAGTAATAAATCTAAAATAAAGTTCAAGATAGATTGTTTCACTGCAACTACAAGGCCTGAAGTTGTAAAGACATGTAAGCCTTAAAAATTTCAAAAATAATATCACTGATGCAAGAGTCTGAAGTATTATTAAACTAGGGAACTGGTGTTTTAATGTTTTTTCTTTTTGTAATAATAAATAATATAATTTTGCTTCGTGTCACAGCATGCTGTCAAGATAATATAACTTGATTGAAAACGATTGAACGTGCCACATACAATTTTTACATCCCTATTACGCAAGCAGAGTATTTTGCTATTTCTTTACGTCAGTGTTTTTGACTATCCGCCAAACCGATCAGTGCTATCAGTTAGTGTTAACGAACTGCACTAGTGTATGAAATAACAAAAATAAAATCTAAACCGAAAACCATCCTTTGACTTTATTAAATTAATGCATTAAAAAAATTCCCACACTTACAATGAGCATGAAGTAGTATTTATTTTGTTAAATAATTTAAACTATTGTAAGAAATGAATACTCCATGTGAGTTGCTTACTATATTTTCTTATGCTTAGAACTGTAATTTTGATGTATTTCCACAAATTCTTTTTAAATAGTCGTAACACAATACCAACTATCTACATCAACCACAGAATCAGCGATATATTCACTACACAAACGGTAAGTTGTAACTCCACAATAAGGTGGTAAATCGACAACATATTGAAATTGCAGTTGCTTACCTTTAATGTCCCCATATGTGAAAAGATTTACCGTTTATTTCATTTTTAGTAGCTAGGCGTAAGCTAAGGAATTATAGTAATCGAGTCCATCGGACTTTTATGTTTTCTCGACGTTTCATGGCTCTCAGACTTCGAAAAAAGTAGTCTCCCCTTGTCATCTGTCTGTAGTCAGTTTATTTACTGCATTAGTGATAAAATAATTTATTAAAAATATTTTCAGCTCAATTTTAATTGCAGAAAATATGTTTCACTTTTTGGTTAGTTTTTTTTTAATGTGAAAGTAAGTAAATACGACTAGAATTTATGAAATTTTAGATGGTAATGTATTAACCAAATGTTGAAGTCAATGACTCAAGGTGGTTACGTTAGACAAATATATTATTAATTAATTTGACCTGGGCTGTTTTTTTTTTTATTAAAAAGGACTGAAATAATAAACGCTCTTTTGGTAAGACATAAGGCATTATGCGAAATGTTTGTACTTTTTACTAGAAATTTTAGGGATCAGTTTAATATCTGAAACGAACTATAAATTAATACAAAAACATGTAACCAAACTATTTTTCCATTAGACAATAAATAATCCAGATGAGATTCGTACTATACGGAATGAACATTAAATTTTCTCCACGGTTACAGCGATAACATTTTAAAAATTACTCCAAAGGTATGAATATTGCTATGTGTGTGTAAATTTTTGACAGTGCTAGGCGTAAAATATTTTTTTTCACTAGCAGCCTGGACGCATGCAAATGTCGACTCATTTAGTGGTAGCAAATTCAACTTTTGCTACCACCGGTTCAAAAAGAAAAGTTGAGGTTATGTACGCAATGTTTGATGTGATTACTTCTTAAAAAATGAACAAATGTGTGCTACAAACATTACTTGAGTATACGCATGGTAGTTGGTAGACGCTAGAAGATAAAATGATTAACTCAGCGACAAGTATAAACGGTTTTCTTTGTGTTGAAGATTTAGATTAAGTTTGATTAGAAATGAAAACAAAATCATGTTGCGTCAAAAAATTGAACGTTTATTTTTCAGTTTATTGTCTTATGGTTTCTACTAGTGAAAAAAATAGTATATTAACCACGGTTGCAAAGCCACTTCTAGACCTCGCACTTAGAGCCCTCGACGCTGCGCGTCTCGGGTTCTAATTTGCGCTCGGTCTAGAATGCTTGGCTCTGCAACCTTGGCTAATAATATACTATTTCAGACTTTTCTAAATTATTTCTTTTATTTGTCTCAATCAAACGCACTAATTCAAAGTTACCTACTTAAATTCAATTATTTTATTTTAATTAAGTGTCGTCGCTGTCAGTCGTATTGAATAAAAAAACAGTATCATCAATCTTACTTTTTATCAAGTGGACCGATAGATATGGCCTAAACTTTATTAACATGCGTATATTAAATATTTTAACATCAAAATTTGCAGAAATAGAAAATAAATTTGCATTATTGTGTCACCCAAAGTTTATTTCAATCGTTCGAAATTTTGTAGGAGAAGAACACATGTTCATATCTAATCTAAGTAATTCTGAACCAACTTCTCGCCGTAATCTTTATAAAATATAAATTATATCTTAATATATTAATAATTATATAATGTATTGAATAAGTTATCAGTTTTATTTGAAATTTTGTCTGGTAATTAGATTTTTCTCTAAGAAAAATGGAATCACTGAATGTTATGTCATAACTTCGGTGAACTAGGTAAATAAAATAGGGAAATTATTTTATTTATAGAATTTTTTATATTTCCACATAATTTACTGCAAATAGTCTTATTTGCTGAACAAAAATCATTTTACATCTCATTATTATCAAAGCCGAAAGAATACGCACACCCTAAATTTAATATCTTTTAAGTCACAAAAATTTAGAGGAATTCTACAATATATTTTTATAAGACTATTCAGATCACATTGAAGCCTTTACTAACTTAGACAGTATCAGTTAACCCTTAATTTACTACTGTTTTTATATGCAGGGCAAGTAAGGAAAAAATTCAGAATTTACTGATAGTAAGTTGAATTTAAACTCAGTAAATTAGTAAATACCAAAAAAGAGAATATGCTTTGCTAATAGGAGTAATAGGTTACCCATTACTCCCATTAGGATAGTATTATGGAATACGTTTCGCCAACTCCTAAATAACTTACCGAACTAAATAATTGAAATAATAATTACTAGCGAAAAAAAGTTGCAGAAAAGTTAAAATATCTGTTTGCGGCTAAATCTTTTAAGGAGTATTATTCACATTTAAAGGATCATGTTGAATCCATTCAACTCAAAATTAGTGGGTATTAGATACAAAAAAACAGTATATTAAAAGTTACGTCAGTGTATTTTGTTCAAACTAAGTGTCAAATAACAACAAATCGAAGACTAGCTGAAAAGTTAAATGGCTAAATGTAAAGTACCCGCAAACTCATTTGAGTTATTTAAATTTGAGCTCTGACTGAAATATGCTAGGTGTCCCAAAAACCATGTAGGGTATCTTCCCATTTCTTTGGACTTATTGTAAGTTAAAATCTAACTTGTAATGTGTTTTACGCAATTTATTAACTGGAAACAAAGTAGGAACACTTTTCAAAATGAAGTTAGTATAAATGCAAAGAAAAATCATGTTTTATTAGATGTTAAAATGAGCATAATTCTTATTTAAATATTTAAAATACATATACATATACCGCGTGATCTCTTGGTAGTATTTTTTAAAGAAAAACGTGAACTTTTCTTGCGTTTATGTTGACATAACGGAAGTAGTTGTATGACAGATATGTCAATCATGACATGCGATAAATTTATGTTATGTTTTGGATACATTTTTTAAATAAAAAATGTCAACAGTGTTTCAGTCTTGACAGCTGACAACCGGAAATTATAGAAAACATCATGATACCAATTTCAACTAAAAATCCAGGATTACGCAGTATTTTATGAAGGCTCATGACTTTTTAACTACAATATACTTTGATGAGATTTGATTCTAACAAATGATTATTTTTACAGTAAGTGTTTTATTATTCTAGAAATGAGGATAAAGAATTGTAATTTCAGTTTTCCCGCTGAAATTTTTAACGCTGATTAAAATAAGCTTTCACTTGGAAATAATTATTAATTTATTGTCTCCGAAATTATTATAAAATTTTTGATGAACTTTAACATTATCACGTAGATGGTAAAATGCTACAAAAATGTGTGTAAAAATTAACTAAACTTGCAATTTATACTGTCACATGTTTCTTAATCGCTGATTTAATAATATAGGTACCTATATTTTGAAGCTTATGGACATGCGTCATCGTAAAAAATAGGGACTGCTTGTACTTCGGGGGCACGGGAAACTTTATCTAAATAATTTTATATAACTTTTATTCATCGTTGTAAGGTACTTAACTATATTATAGCGACAGATAGAATGTCTGAATTGCCCAGGCTAATTAAAATGCCTAAACACTTTGACACAACCGACTTCTTAGTGCTAAAATTAAACAGTAGGCAGCTTTTGTAAAATTATACCAGTGAAAAATAAATGTAATCTTTTAAATCATCAGAAAAATTCTAGAGAAAGTGAAAAAATTGAAATAATTTCTAGGTGCATCTAGTACAACAGTAATGAAAGAAAAATAAGTAGATATATAATTTAGTTATTTTTAAAAAAACCAGAAGGTAATATACTAATATTTAAATTTTGGTGAATCATAATGCTCTATTTTTGATGCTGTAGTGGAGCTTGCTGTAGTAATTACTTTATAAAAAATGTTGCACCAGAAACTGTGAACGCTTCTAAAAAGCTTATTTGATTGCTATAATTATGGGACAAACATACCTTATCCAGTGCTTAAACAATAAAAGTTTGTTAGGATCTAGGTATTCGTCTTCGGCAACTTCTCTTTTATCCTGTACTGGAGCGGCTGGAGTTTCAGCAGGTGTTGACTCACTGGCCGCAGCGGCTTCTGAAGCAGCAGGAGCAGACTTTTTTAATTCTGGTAAAGGCGGTGGTGCATCGTCACCAGCATCGGTAAACCAGTCTCCACCCTCATCCGCCATGGTTATCTAAAACTTAACGAAACTTTATACTGACAAGAATTTAATAATTTATGCACAACACTAACTGGTCACTATGAAGTTGAGCGTGAGACAGTATAAAAGTCTTCTGTACAGCTAATGATCTACCAATTCGACAGTTTTAAACGGATCAGAATCCTCCCCGCCAGATCTTACATTGCCAATCGCTCCGTGCATGCTTGACTTATCCCTACTAGCGCTACCTTAACCCTGGTGACCCCGAACAGTTTCAATAAAAACACACAACAAACGCACGGACTGCGTTAATAATGCCAGTGTGTATATTTATAATGCACTGCATATTTGAGTCACACCACAATAACTGCTTGTGACTATTTTAGCATGCTTTATATTAACCATTAATGTAAATCAAATTGGCTAATTCTAAAACGGATAATTGGCTGACGCTGCTTTTGTTGAACAACCTCAATTCTTTTCTTAATGTCAGTTAGGCTATAAATTGCAGGTATTGACACGTCAATACGGCTTTGGCAGATATACTAACACTATTTGTATCGCAGTCTTACAAATACAAATAGTGGTGATGTGACATTAGATTAAATTAAAATATATCTTTACTCATGTCTCTATTATTTTAATGATTTAACAATCTAGCAAATACCTACCATTAAAGGGACAACATAATATATAAGTTATAACCAAGCGTCATTGCCAGAAGAAATTTTCTTTTTAATTTCTTAAATTAATTATGCCAGTAAAACAGAGACAATCTATATTACACATCTACAACAGCTGTACATAATTCTTCATTATCACGCTATTAATCTTTACTTTCAAAAGCTGTGAAATCTATATTATTAGGTAATTTGGACAATTCCCAAAACACGACCCGAAAATTTTTTCTTCCCAAAATAATAATTAACTGTTGTTGCTTTGGCAAGATATATTTAGTAGCGGCGAAATTCCAAAGTTAAGTATAACAATACACTGGAATGTAATTACCTGTACGCTTTGAACTCTGTTTTTGTTGACAGCGGAAAGACTTAAATGATTTAAAAGTTAGTAAACTGTACATCATTCCTCTATAATATATTTCTGATACAAAAAATACAAACATGTAAAAATACACTTAAATGTACGAGGGTATTTTGATAAATAGTTAGTTTAGTTGATTTAAATTGCTCAAAACAAATTAGTTGAAATGTTCTAAAGAATTCATGTGAAGGTGCACATCAAATAATTCACTTCAATCAAGTTATGAAAAAAAATCAGCAAAATGAATTCCTCAATGCTTGAATGCTAAACAAAGGTGTGCAAAAATGGAAGCGTCATCCTTTTTGTAGGCCCGTTTTTATAGCGATCCTAATTTTTTAAACTGTATTGGATGAAACCTGGCTGTATTTTTATGACTAGAGCATTGATTAAATACATACATATGTATTTAATATATGATGACCCAGAGACGAACAACAATCGAACGATGGAGGAATTCTGGTTCTCCAAAGCCTAAGAAGTTTCTGATCCGAAAATCTGCTGAAACATTCTAGTTTCAGTTTTTTGGGATTCTCGCAGAATAATTATTATGGTTGATTACTTGGAGAAAGGCAAATCCGCAAATCGAGAATACTATTCCGCTTTATTGACAACATTAAAAGATATAAATTTTCTTCAAACGAAGAAACAACAGCAAATATCAAGAGCTGGTACACATAGCAAGAAGAAACATTTTTTAGGAGTATTACAAAAATTTCAGGATCCCTGTAATAAGTGCATAACTTTAAAGATGAATTACTTCTAATAAAAAATCTTTTCATCTTCAAATTGTTTTTTGTTCTATGGTAGGCTAAGAATCTTTTAAAATGCCCTGGTACATAACTTCGGAAAAACCCAAATAAACAATATTAGTTAAAGAACAAATTTAAATTTTAAAAGATCTGTGCTGAGGTGATCAATAAAACTTATTTATTAATCTGTTCTTGAATGTACTTAATATTAAAGTAACATAAATTGTATTGATTCTTCTTGCTTACTACCCAAATTCGGTTTTAAAGTTCCGTGTTTCTGTGTGGACCAATATAATGCAATTTTCCCCAATCCACCCCGTTATAAGTTAAGTTGCATTTTTTCACACAAAACTTAAATTGGACAGAATTCTATAGTTTTAGTATTTATATTTTAGTAGCTTTTAGAGCATTCCCTTATGGGTTTGCATTTTGCATTGACGTACTCTGTCGCATCTAAATATCAGCTTGTTAGTTGGCTTATAATTAGGTCTCAACCACTTAGCCAACTTTACACAATAATAAGTAACTGCGTAATAAACCAAAGTACTCGTAGTCGTAGGGTGTTAGCCAAAAGGATAAAGAATGAAAAAGCGACGATTTGTGCGAGGGAATAACCACTTGTAAATATATCAACAAAATGTAGGTGTCTGAAGTGAGTTTGATTGTGTGATTAAAACATCGGTTCATCCATTCTCCTTTATAAACCTAAATCAAAAAAAGCTCAATTTTTAGGTTTTTTTTTATTTTCTCTATTCAGTTGAGGACCAACAGTAATGGGCCATCACTTTGATAGACTATCGATCTTGGTACCGTTGCCACATCGTTCAGATCTTGATGGAACCGTTCTCCCTGTTCTTCATTATAATCGCCAAAATTTTCTGGGAAAAATCTAAATGTGAATATATAAAATTGAGTTTGATGCTTATTATATTGCAAACAAGCTGATGAAATTTGTATACCATTTCTCTACAATATTGTTACAAAATAAACTCAAACGCCGCCCCGGTACGACGTCTATGGGTTTTCTGGTATGTGCGGCGATGATGAGTGACTCATCGTCGGTGACAGTGACCGGACGGCGTTCGCAAAAGAAAAGCCTGGAAGCGGTGGCGGCGACCTTTCGAGAAGGACCGCGTGGCTGTTCAAATGGAAACCACCGTCGGGAGCAGTCAGTGAAGTTCAGACAATGTGAGAAATAGAATCTAGTCAAATGCATTCAAGTGTAATTAGTCGTGTAAATTTGGGTTACTAAGAAATAAATTGTTGAGTTTTACTCACGCCGGTTTTAAATATGTATCCGTAAAACATAACATTGTATTTACAATTATTTATCTCATAGTTAAATAAGGGATTAAGTCTGTTTGATGGTTGAACTGACAAACTCCGATCCATCAAATTCAAAAAAACCTAAACATGTCGGGCCGTGTTATTACATCACCGAGTCCACCTATTAATAGCAATGTTAAGCTCAGCACCTAATCACTTAAATTAAGTTGTAAATTTCACATGGGTCATAATCATAATTGATAACATTCTCATATACGCCGAGCGAATGCATTGTCGTATCTCTCTTTCTTTTCTGCTTTGTCCAATTCATGTAACATAAATTCGGTGCAACTTGAAAAAATGTTGACAAAATTTAAAGCCTATAATGTTACATACAGTTCGAAATAAAGAAGACCGTATCACAGTTTACAAAACCAGTATGGTCCGATTAAAGTGTGTGTTTCTCATGCAGTTTATATCTGACTCCAGACTATCAGTAAAAATCCACTCCTTGTTTTATCTGGTCTAAAATTCATAGTATTGCAAATATAGCGATTTTTTAAATTTAACATCCAGTACAAACAAAAAAAAAAAAAACAAAAATTGAACCGTTATGGTATGGCAATTATTTCACAAATAACCGTTTCATGAAGAATGTAACCTATGGATGCTTTGTAAGCAATGTAACGAAACACATTAAAAAAATGAAACATACATTAAAATAATCGCTGTGATGATTCCAATAGCTCTGAAGGCAAATCTCAATTAAGTAACAAGATCAAGATATTTGAAAGAATGTTGCTTGTTGGTGAACATCGACAGCCAATCTCTTTTTGCAAGGGAAAACTTGTGTAATAGTCTAGTCAGTAAGTGGTTCTGCCCTACAAAAAAAGTCTGACTCTAATAAAAAATACAAGTTTTCGGCCCTAGGATGAGATGCGAGTCGCCATCTTGAATTTAAGAGGTGAATAATTGTTTTGTGCTTACATTACAAAACGAACTTAATGTAAATATATTCATTCTTTCTTTCATATACAGTATGTCCACGGATTCTGATTGTGATTTTATGAAAATATGTCAGAGGAAAAAAATTTGTTTGCTTGACATAAAACAAACTTCTACATATAAAAACTGTTAAGTTACGCAGGGTTTTCTAAATAAATCAGTTTTTTGCTAAAATTCCATAAAGATCGTCTTTTGCGGTAAGTTTTGAAACTGATAAAATGTTTTACTTTAAACGTCAAAAAATTAAAGTGTCAACGTTGCAACAAAGAATTTATAATCCGATATTACGGCACAGGTGAAAATAGTTACCGGGATGTTATAACCAACGCGCGGAACAATATCTCAGACGCTCGATCAAGTGCTGCCGCGTCGATACTTTGATTACAAATATATTTTTCTTTTGGACTATATCAACATAATATAACATTTCAAGATCACAAATCTGTGGTCCTGTGGTTGAAAAATTAATAAGGGCACCGAGTATTATTATTTGAAGTAATATAGTAATATAGAAGTAGTTTTTCTACTAGCTCTAAACACTCCTAGAGACGCACTGGGTACGACCTTGTGGACCAGATCACACCGTCCCCGTTACTCGCCATAAAACACACCTTACTTCAACTGGGGAATTGCAGCCGTAAGATATTCCGCGCATTGGTTATAACTCAGTTCAACGACAACTTTCCCAATATTTATGTTGAAAACGGCGATTTTTAATCACAGGCTCAGTACATAATATCAAGAAAAAGATTCATAACGAAGAAGATGCGACCACTGTATTAATTGCAGGCTCAGGAGGGGAAAGTAGGGGAATGCCGGCCGCCTAAGCCATTTCGTCAATATTATCTTTATTATCTTAGATCATATAATAAATAGATACCACCATGCCGTGTTCTTTCCCTAGGACAGCCTGTGACGACATCCTCCTGTCACACATCTCTCTCGTGCATGGAGGGATTACAATGAAGCTATCTTTGCCTGATCACTATTTGAATTTTGCGCGCCTAAATTTTAGGAAGTATGTCTGAACTAACTTCGGAAGAAAGATGTTGACAGCTTGATTTTATAAATAATTCACAGTAGATAACGAAAGGAATAGTAAATTATTGGGCAGCAATTGTGATCCTTTATGACTACATCACTTAAAATAGGATCTTTGTTCTAAATTCTAAAATTGTTTTTTGTACAACAACTCGAAAGATAGGTTAGAAGAAACATCTGTCAAAAGCGATTTGTTGCGCT